ACTCAGTTTTAGAGATGCTTGTGTCTGTAAGACCTGGGAAGTTTGCTTTTACTAGGAGCTTGGGACTGTTACTTACGGCAGTTTATCTCATCGCTTCCATCCTTGCAGTCTGCATCTCCATCACAGCGCCACTTCTTGTGAATGCATTCCCCTGAGCCACACTGTACTTCACTGGGAGAGCACTTCACAGGAGGGACAGGCTGACGGCCACACTGCTCCAGAGATTCATCTGACTGGTCTGAACAGTCTGCATCATCATCACATACCCAACTAATAGGGATACAGGTAGAGCTCTTGCACTGGAATTCATGGGCTCCACAAGAGGGTGGTGCACAGTCTAGTTCATCACTACCATCACTGCAGTCATCTTGGCCATTGCAGACAAAGTTTTTGGAGATGCACTGTCCACTCTTGCAAGTGAACTCTGCTGGACTACAAGTTACATTGCCTAAGAGAAATAGAAGGCCACTTAGTGATACTCTCTCAGCATGATCCAATCAAGTCAAGACTACTGCAGTTTCAGGGTTCCTTATGTTTGCTAGCAGGCTACTGCTGATGTTCACTATGGCCACCTGAAAGCATGGTTCAGGAGCCTGTACTGAGTAGTTTACACCTGTATTTTACAGGTAGTATTCTCATTTTAAGGAGTCTCACCCTGGAAGCCCAGGACTAGGTTTTAGTGCACTCTGGCATACTCCCATAATGGTTTGGCAACCCAATAAAAAAAAAAATTCAGTCACGCAGTGCTAGGCCTATATAGGTACAGTTTTGGGCCTTTAGGTGGCTCTTGGATTAGAGTAAGAAGGTTTACTCTTTCCCCAGCCTGTTCCCTCTGAAAAGGAAAAGCTTGAGTTCAAAGCCATTTTAGCTCATCTTAATGTGAGCTATATAGGTTATCATGCAAAACAAGTTAGAGACCCTTGGGCTCAAGTTTAGGAAGTAGATACTCTTCTGTTGTACCAGCTAAAGCTATTTGCAAGTCTTAAAGAGCCAGGCACTTTTGGCTTGTCAAATATTTATAGTATCAAGTGCTTTACCTCCAGATTAACTTTGCTTTACCACCATTACTTTAAGATCAAGGGCTTAGAGTTAAGGTAAACTAGGTCTACATATGTTTATTTATATTGCTAAAGTGTGCTCAAAGCAGTGACCTATAAAGGGAGAAGGGGCAGGGGAAGAGAACTGGCTACTCATTGCTGCTAAGGGTCAGTAAGAAGGTGCTCTTAGACTCTCCTTGAGTACTGGTTTGACAGCAGTTTCCACAGATACTGACTGAAGTCAGTACTACAGCAGATATCAAATAGGCCTGCTTGAGAGGCCACCTGAACCGAGGACTTGAAGGCCAGCCTGCTTGTGACATGGTGGGCTTAGCTGCAGTTACACTTTAGAGGTCCCATTCCAAGGGGAAAAAAAAAAGTCACTTTTTGGCTCCCTTCAGGCCAAGCAAGTTAAGAGCCACATAAAACTCCCCCCACCCCTTACCACAGTTCTCTTCATCTTCACCACTGTCACAGTCTTTTTCACCATCACATTTCCAGGATACAGGAATACATTGAGTGGACTTTGCACCACAGCTGACTTCATTTACCCGGCATGTTCTCATATCTGAGACAGAGAGAGGAGAGAGAGTTGAAGAATCAGTTTTAGACCCAAGCAGCTCCAAGTCAGTGCCATTGATCAGGTTTAGTCATTCTACTGAAATGAAGTTTAGGACTGGAACTCAGGAGTCTCAGCACTGAAGCTGACATTAGTACAAGAGCCATGAACTAACTACTCTATTTCACTTGGCACAGTAATGTTAGTTACCTGTAGCATTAGACTTCAGATTAATGCTGACACAGTTGTGTCTGCCACGTTTGGCATGGCATGAAATTTTGGTAGTGTGTGTTCTGAAACAATTGTTTTTTTACTTCCAATATGAACTGGAAGTGCTAGATGTGTGGCCAAGTAAAGAATAAGGAGGCAAGCCACAGAACACAGGGTAGTGGCTGTGTACTTATTTCTGCATTTGGCTGCCCCATGCTAGTACACAGTAATATAGCCAGCTTAGCTGGGCTTAAAGAAAAAGTTTCTTCCTTCCAAAAGGAAGGGGGAAGGAAAAACAACCATGTTTAAGCCTGGAAGTTAGGATGATGAGTTAAAGGATATTAGGTCTTTGCCAAGAGATTGCAGTTTCTTGCCCAGGTGGGACTTGGCTGCCAGCATAAGACAAGCTCACTTACGGCATAGTTCAGGGTTTTCATCAGATCCATCTTCACAGTCTGGATCTCCATCACACTGCCACCTGTTTGGTACACACTGCCCATTGCTGCATACAAAGTCAGATTCAGCACATGTCTTCTTCACTGTAAGACAAGAATTACTGCTCGCTTAGCTACAAGATCTGGTTTTGCAGCACTAAAGTCTTGAGCAGGTTGGTAGCATTTCATCCAGCAGCTGACAGTGTTTGTGTAGCAGTCCTTACAGCCTTTAATACCTCCCCATGTTATTAGTTTAACTAAAAACTTAACCTTATCAGAAAGATTAATAGTAAATAGCAGCATATTGGTTTGTTTTTTAAAAAAAAAAAAGTTTCTCAAGTGTTGCTGTATGGAAAGGAAGGAGTTACCATCTATTACAGATGGTTAAGTGGGAAATTGGTGCTATTAAGGAGTTCTAGCAGTGGCTTTGGAGGCATGACAAATGTGTGGATTAGAATGACTGTTTGAACTCATTTGTGTGGCAGAGTTTTTCATATCATCTGTATGATGTCCACTTTGCCTTTGGTTTTAATTTTAAAGCAGAGATCCACTGAGGTTAATATTTCTGCTTTTGTAGCGCAGA